GGGTGCGATAAGGTGTTGACTAAGAGGCGCTGAAACGTATATGGTCACGAAATTCATGCGCGCTTCTCCGCAGGCAATTGGATGCGAAGTGTTTTGAGTATGGTGTAGGGTGGGACGTGGCAAACAATTTGGCTGGGGTTACAGAGTGATACCGACTGATAAGATTGATAAGAGGCGCTGGAAACGTCAAATTTCACGAAATTTCATTTAGCGCGACGTCCCGTACCAGTGAGGCCATAGTTCCAACAAGTTGACTGTACAAGGGGGACCGAACATGTTCGTTTTGTGCTTTACGGAAGTTGATAAGCGCCGATAAGGGCGGATAATATGCGCTGATTCGCTTAGAAACATTAGAGATCACGTTAAACCATATCACAGATAACGCCAATGCACTTTCAGTATCATTTCATTGCGGTGCTGTTGTCATCACATTTAAAATACGTTCGACCGCTGCAATCCAAAATCTCTTAAGCAATGCTTGAATGAACGTTTTTTAGCGATTCTACGATAATGGTTATTTCCATTGCAAAATCATTACATTGGTCTTTCCAATTGCCAAAGTCATTTGGCATCTAATTTATTCCACCGCTTTGGAATCATTTGATATCCAGATTTTAATGGTGTTTGTTTACAAGCCAACACTAGCCGATTTCGCAATCCCCGCGCGCATTAAACGATTGCTTAAGAATGGTTGTTCTATGAGCCAGCTAACGCATTCACGAATCAAGTTGTGTGAGTCAGCGGTGGAGGCCTAATTGCTCCGCGGTCAGCTTTTCGGAGCCTTTCCGTGTCATGCACGCGGTAGTGCTGCGGCAAGCTAAAACGTGGGTGATTAAGTATAAGTGCCGAAGGAGAAAGAACAACATCTCGATCTGTTTACCATAGGGTATACGGCTAGGATTCTTCCACAATTCTTTATGCATAAAACCATGCTTGCATAGTCGTTTCATTCGAGAAAAAAGGAAAGAAAGCGGGGAATAGTCGAGCAAAAAAAAAAAAAACAAAAAAAATACATGGAACCGCCTCGCCACAAGGTAGGCGGCGTTCATTTTGTTCAGGGTCATAATAGTATGAAGTTTTCCATTTTCACTGAAACACTTAAACAAACTTGCAAACACATGCGATAGTCCGAGCGTGGATCGCAAACAAAACGGCTATTCTTGATTGTATTAGTGCCAGGCCAGTTTAGGAAGCGCAACGCAATGAGAAAAGACCGGCTAGAACTGCTTTGGTGAAAATGTCTGGATTTTTGAGATCCGCTTCTGTTTCAGCCTCTTCACAGTGAGAAAAGCGCAAAGACCGGGGGGGCAAAGTGCAGGACGTTGGAAAGGAACATGGGGACCAGACCGGGAGAGACAGAAAATGAGGAAACGAAGAAGAGGGGACAAGGCGAAGAAGGAGAATGAACGAGGTCCTGTAATAATCTACTCCTTCATATTCGATAAGTGAGCCAAGGCACCTTTTTCAGGGACAGTAACCTTGAACAACCTCAGAGTATCAGCTCCTCCCCCTTATCGCCCTATCGTCCCCCCAATGCCCAACGAACGTCCACTGGCCGAAAACACGCTTAATAGTGGTGATAATTAAAAATGGTCGATTGACGAGAACTGCCGAAGTTTTTCAAGAGAACGTTTGTTCGAATAGAAACGATTTAACGCAGAAAGAGTGAAAATATGATAAAAATAGTTCTCAAGTAATTTGATAATTGTAAACCAGAACTGTAAGTATTTGAAGAGACCTGATGACCTCCTTGATACATTCCGTGATCACGTGTTCTACTATAATAATTCGATAATAAACATTGTGTTGATTTTCTATCTATGCTATCCTATTCAAGAGATTGTTTGTGAAAATCGAAACACATAAAAAACTGGAACAATGTCGAGCGTGAAGTGTTACGTGTACGATCCGGGCCCAGGATTAACGGTCGCGTTCGTACTTCCGAAGTCGGTGGGGGGGGGGATCCTCCCTGGAAAGAAAAACTTGGTTCGTCACTCATAAATTACTAGTTTAAGACCCATCGTTCGCGATAAGAACGGAGAGAACAAAAAAGCTCTTGTTTTGGTAGACGAACAAGAAACTGGTAAGAGTCCTACGCCTCATATTCCCGTCGGGCATCTGTCACAAATGCTGGCGGCAGGAACGCTTCCGCTTGGTTCACGAAGTACTATCTTAGACACCTTTTGACATTTGACTTATTCCATTAACATCTTACACCTCTAGTGTGCGGTATCGGTTTCAACGGCATGGTGTACTTTTAACGGTAACACAAGTTCGGACGCTGTCGTGAGCCTCACGAAACACTATGGGCACCTTCGAAAAGAAAAAACGGTAAGGAATGAACACAAAAAAACTCGCCAAGTTGGAAGAAAAAAACGAGGAATTTGTTCCAGTAGTAGTGAATTTACTGAGTGATTCCATGCTTACCAGGAACGGATGGGTCGAAGTGGCCATATGTAAAGAGACCTAAACCCGTGTATGCGTTTTTGCACGCTGATCTCGAATCTGCTTTTCAAATCTGCCAAACGATTTTCTGAATGGAGTTATGAAGGAAAGTAGTGCAGCAGTAGTAGTCCGGGTTCACCTGCAAGAGGTCGTGGGATCGATACCCTGGCGGGTTCTCTTTTTTGCCTTCGCTGCAAAATGATTGAAAAGGGCTCTCAACTACCTTACTCGATCAATGCTTGCCTGTAGTCACCCGTGCAAAGACTTTGCGAGGAGTTTCTAATCAGTTTCGGCGGTACTTACTAAAGACTGCACATGGAGCCCACAGAACTCTTGGCAGACGTTTTTGCAGCAAACGAGTGTGATATTCGTGTTTCGGAGATTGAATTACCCCAAGGACAAGTTTGTAGCCAAATTTGAGATTTCGACCAAATTTTGAAATTAGCTGGGCGGGTATCTATCCATTCATCAATCAGCCTATCACCGAAGCCTATATAGACTTGAGACGACAGAGGCTTTTTTTGGTTTCTGAAGAGTGTAAAACAGTGTCCGGTTTTCTGTTCGCATGATTTCAACACCCACACTTTATTATTTTCAAATTTAAAGGGTCGCCGTCGTCCAACATAGGTCAACCCCGGAACTACCGGCAATGGATATGTAGCATCAATGAGTGACTCGCCCACTTTTTTTTGAAGTTAATTTAAAATCTCAAATTTTCCTAGAAATTGGCCCCAGAAGTTATTGGACTACTTGAGCACAGATCCCACATTCGTTTACTCGAAAACGGCCGAAGTGCGTGCTCCGTATACTGGTCCGCCTTAACCAAGGTAGTGTCATGCAAGTTAGGAAAAATTTCGAAGTTATCGACCTCAAACTCATCCAAAAACAAGTGGGGCCGACCAATGATGAAGGAATCATGTTACACTACCGTCAAATAGTCAGTCACAAAAATGCAAAAGCAAAAACACGCTGCGGATCCCAACTATTGACCCCGGCATCCCAAGCCCACCACCTTAACCATAGCCACCAGCACCCGTTTAACAGGTTCACTTCTTCGTTCACAAGCCGCTGCTGCTGAGGCCGATTCCCCACTGTCTTAAACTGTGTGGGGGAACGAAACACCTCCGTAACTCCATTCAGCGAATCGTTTGGCAGATTTGGGAAGAAGATTCGAGATCAGCGTCCGAAACCACATACCATGATACTTGTCTCATTTCATACGGCCACTTCGACCCTTCATCCTTCCCTAGTTAGGCGCGATGTCCAAGTAGACCGGCTCGCACACGGTGAGCTGCGCGGCGATCTGGACGTGATGAGGCTTCGCGGGATCTGCAGTGGAATTCAACACCAGAGGCGTGTAGATTGTTGATAAACTCCGCATGATTCTGTTTCAAAAGTTTCCGCGTGCAGAGTAAGCAGTGGTGTAGGTGGGGAGATTTCACCAAAAGGAGATGAAAGATGACCTTCATGGAAATGAAGGAGATGAAAGATGACCTTCATGGAAATGTTACTAAGTCATAAAAGCGAATAAGAACCACTAAAAATTAGGAGTTTCTCATACTACTGATGGAAATATTTGCTCTCAACTGTACATGTCTTCTGGTCGAGGCGCTCATGCGTTTAGCGGGAACAGCCAGAAGTATGTATACTCTATATCCGAAAGCTGGGGTAGGCGTGTCAGTGGAAGTGAAGTGCATTGATAGAAGCTATGTGGACAAGTTGCTTCCAACCTACATCGCTGGATATCAGCAAAGCATGCTGACAACAGCTTATCCACGCCACTTTTATCAAGTGCACGTCACTTCCGGTGGCTCCCCTACCCCAACTTTCGGGTATCAAATGTATTTATAATTTCATTGAAACAGTGTAAAAACAAATAAAATATTATAAAAACTTCAAAATGGTACTGCGGCCAAAATTTGCATACGGAGTTGATTCGTGCTGGGGGAATCCGTTTATGATGCTAGAGAAGCTGCGAAATGGCTGCTTATTCTGGAACTGCAAAATTCTAGGGTGAGCCTCTAATCATGAGACGCACTGTAGTATACTGTAGTGGTGTTTTGAAATGAGTCGGTAAATTCTACCTGCCCCTTCACTTGCCTTTCAAAATTGCTGTTGTGTGGGATCGGTGGGGGAAAGGGGTTAAGGACTAATATTGGTGAATGAAAAAGGAAATGTGCTAATTCTGCCTACCTCACGCTTCTATTTGAAGCTTCCCACAAAATCGTCGAAATTCAGTGATAAGCATCCTTTCCCAAAACCCCGATCTATTGAACTTTCTCAACCCCACTAGAACTACGTTTCGTCAACCCCAAATACGACTCCACTCCTAAAAATCGCAAATGCGATCTCCCGCCTGAAATGTATGGAGTGGGATTTTGCTACAGAAACATTACAATAGTGCGACGATCAGTGCTGAAATCAGGAATTATACGACTGAAACATGTTCAATCCCAATTTAAACGCTCTTATCAGTGGATTTCGTATCGTATGCAAAGCCTCATAGCTGCATTTGCAAAAGTAAGGTTAATTCAACACTTTGTAGGCTAAAGGTGATGGCTCCTCTCCGTGTGCTTGTCACAGGTGCAGCAGGCCAGATTGGTTACGCAGTCGTTCTTCAAATCGCCAAAGGAGACGTGTTTGGAAGGGTACTTGGTTCAAACAACTTTTGATATTCCTATCATGTTGCAAACAAATGTAAATTTTAGGATACTCCGGTTGTCCTCGTGCTGCTTGACCTTCCTTCTATGGCAACCGTTCTTGAGGGAGTACAGTATGAACTTCAGGATTGTGCTTTGGCAAATCTTCTAGGTCTGTTTAAGGTCTTCTATGTAGCTCTCTGAGTATCGGGTGCGCAGCAAACGCGATACACGGTGCGACATCGCGGGCTCGAACTTCTACGTAGTGATGCCATCTTCGCTCTAAAACGGCATGAATGGAGCCCCTCTATATGAAAATAGCAAGGGCAATTATGACAAAAACTTTGAGTTGTGCCCACTTCAAATTCACTTCTGCCAGATGATAGGTTGGCACTATCGCAAGACACGGTGGCATCCTCCATGGCTAAGCCTAGAAGGAACTTCATCAGACAATCTGAAGTTTATCCTTGCCCGTCTAATGAAACGTTCGAAGCTGCAATCATACGTGTAATTAGGCGATTAGGCGATGATTCAAAAGGAAAAGTATACGCTTTGATTGGGCGATTGGGCGAATAGGCGAGTAGGCGATAAGGAAGAATATGTGTCGAATTGTTGCTCCGCCCATCGAACGATTGCCTAATCGCCTACTCGCCCAATCGCACGTACGATCGCCACCTCTGAACGCTGCATAAGGCTTAGACCCGAATACAGCAAAAAGGAGATGATACGCGGTTTTCAAATGCACTACCACACACCTGACCGTACAACGACTTGCAAGAGCTTCACCTGTTTCACCAAATGTCCCGTTCATCATCGATTGCTCGACTGCGCGTCAGCAACGTCACCATTCGTCTCTGTCGTGTGCAGGAGTAGTCCAATGAATCCTCCTCACTCGAGGAACGGATGTTCTTCATTCAGTTCGTTGAGAGCTTTCGTGGCGAAGCCTAACCATTGAGCAGGCGGTTGTTCGACGTCCGGAAAGAACCCGTCGATGACCGCTCTGGTCCAACAGTCATCAAAAAGTCGCATAATGTGTCAGGCTCAGCTCCTTCAATACCATGGCATGCAGCATTGTCTCTGAACTCCGACCGTTTACGGAAATCGGAACTCCAGGTTTTCCTGTGCGTTGCATGTATCAAGAAATTCCAAGCATCGTCCTCTTCACAACACATCGGATAACACATGTTCGTCCTGCCTGCGCAGAGTCCAAGTCTCTGAGGCGTAGGATAGGCAGGAAGGACCGCAGAATCGAAGAGTTACAGAGTCAGGTTTTCTTTGTCTTCATCACTACTCACTTGTTCTGATTCACTCCTCGTGTCGCTCGTTTCCTGGTGCTCAGCTGTGGAGCTAGGTCTTTCATCGTGTTTACTCCCCGACCTAGATACACGTCGCTGGACCTCTCGATTGCGACTTCGTTAGGCTTCAGCTGCAGACCGACCTTTCCACTACGTAGTAAAAACCATGTAGCATTTACTCTGCTCAGAGTTATAAGAACGGTGTCACCAGCAAACCGAAGGTGATGGAGCCCTCTGTCGACCTCACTCCCATGTCTTTCTAGTCCATGTGACACAATGCGGTCTCGAGAGCGATGCTAGAAAGTTTGGGTGATATTATGTTGCCCTGTAGAGCCCCATTCTACGTCAATGATGGCCTCCTTGTAAAATGGTGAAATTCTGTCGTAAAGTTGTTATAGAGCTAGCGATGGATCTTCTGCGCTGAGTTGGAACGTGCTGGTCACCAACGCCTCGATCACCACATCCATCTCTACAGAGTCGGGTTCCTCGCACACTGTTAAAATTCATGAGGCTCGAAACCGTGTGGATATGATAACGTGCTGAATCTTGTTTAAAACCTTGCTCTCAAGGCTGTCCTTCATCCAATGTTCTGTCGACTCCGTTGAGGTTGCTCGACTGGAAAGTTTCGACCACAGACAGCAGGCAGATTGGGCAATAATTGTCAATTTCGCGCATGTCTTCCTTCTTGTACAGCAACCCAGTCATGCTGGTCCTCCATAAATTGGGTACCGTGTATTCCGACAGGTGACGCGTGAAGAGTAGAGCCAGAAATCGATGACAGCCGGCGGTAAACTCTTCAGATGTTTCGGTTAAATTCGCCAAGACTTGCGTTATTGTGCGGTTCTTCACCGGTCGAACTTTAACAAGAGATAGTTGACCATGAGGGAACGACGTATCCATCCTGTTGCACATTAGTAGGCTGATGGTTATGGCTATTGGAAAGATCCGAGTAGAAGTCATGGATGACTTGCTTCATTGCCCTTCGCCAGCAATGTCTTCCTTCTTGTTACAAGCAAACACAGTCAGTGGTCTCAAAAACTGAAAAATAGCGGTATTCCGGACAGGTGATAACGCGTGAAGAGTAGAGCAGAAATGATACAGCGTACGATCAACCCCAGCCGGTAAATCTCTTCAGAAAGCGTTATTATTGGTCTTTACGTCAACTTGAAAAAGAGATTGCATATCTGGGAACGACGTATCCTCCTGTTGCACATTAAGAGGCCGATGAGATATGGCATTAGAAAAAGATCGAAGTAGAAGTATGGTAGACTTGCTTCATTGCCCTTTCGCCAATCGCAGTAGACTCTTCCATTCGTAAGTTGAGGTCATACCATTTGTCCTTGTAGTAGCGAACTTGAACAGCTGCGTAATTGCGCCAATCTCTGTTGCTTCACATTATAGCTGACCATTATGTCTGATATTGTTATGGAAGTCATAGGATTGAACTTTATTGTTCCGAATCGTGGCAGGTGCTTCGGAACTGTGAGTTACCATGTATGGCGTTGGTCGATAAGTGAACTCAGTCTTCCACTCTGCTAATTATGTTACATTCCGTGGGTCTCGATGAGAAGTTTCGGCTCTCTTTCTAGAGTCAATCCTGGCGTTGATGTCGCCGACGATGACTCGTAAGAAGCTGTGATTTTTTCTGTAGAACTTCTCCAACTCTACAGAATCGTCGTGTTCCTACTCGATTGATATTGGTGCGTAGCCTCTTGCGTGTTTGGACGAGGGCAGGAACAGGATAACGCTTGTACCAAGTGCAGCGAGGCTGGTATTTTCGGAGAAGAGCCGTATCTTGGTTTCTGCAGGTTGGTGGTGGTAACGAAGGGGTAGTATTCGGAAGTTTCAAAGGGGTTGAATGAAGTTGGGGAGGGGGGTCGTGTCGCAGAAAATGTGGAGAGAGATGGGTTGTTGTTAACGAATTCACGACGATCTGATGGGAAATCCGGATGGAAGCGTAAAATAGAAAAAATTGAGTTATTTCGTTTACTTTAGACATTTTTAGTAAATACTCTGCAGCGCTTACCTAGCCATATGAGTTTGCCTCCTAAATTTTTAGGCAATTACTAGTTCTGCGTCCTCATTTATTCCAGGTGTGGAATGCGTAACAACTGAAAGGGAAGCTTTCACGGATATCGATTACGCTTTCCTTGTTGGAGGTAAATCGACAATTTGTCGTGCACTTCAGTATTCGTGCTTGTCCCAAAGTTGCTAGGATAAAGCGACACAATGTGGTTGATCGGTTTGAAGAATTAAAACAGCAACAACTCCAGATCGAATTCGGTGGGGAGGGGGGGAAGAAACGGTCGGTAATGAAATTGTGAATGCTGAGTTGACTGCAAATGTAGAAAAAGCAAAGAAACCACTAATAAAGCCCTCAAATAAGGCTTCCTCTCTTTGTGCAATAGTCCCCGAACTTAAAGGAATCGTTCACGGGAAAACGTTATCTCTCCTCTCACCAGAATTCCCTGCTTCATGAGGATAACAAAAAACAAGAAATAGGCGTTAGTTTTGATAATCCAAATCATCGCGGAACTTTGACAATTTGAATCCCCGCCGTAAAACTGTCACAACTGTTAGCGTCGGGGAGCCAACACTTACAAACGTTTTTAAAGCCTGAACGTGAACAGGATTTACGGTGAGCCCTCTTAACACCTTGACGACAGCGCAGGACTCATACGACGCGCACTTTGCAGGCCATAACGAACAGCACGACATTCGTCCTGCACCCATTACGCTCATTTTTCCCACGCATGTGCGATTTCTTCTGAAGTTTCTTGCATTTATTCTGTGAAGGAAACCTTGGTATAGCTACAAACATGTTGGCTCAGAGAATGATCGCGTCTGCCTTAGTTTAGATCAGGAGCTCTTCAAAATCATTAGTTCTGTCAATTTTTCCTTCCCTTTTTCTCCTCATGAATGCGAAGATTCAAAGAATAGTAGAGGTAAATACTGAACCTAAGGGATGATAAGATATGAATTTTGATTGAAACAATTAAGGTAAAATTGGTTTCAGAGTCTAGAGCAGCTCAGCCTGAAAAACTTTGCTTTTTCATTTCTATTTAACGTCTTTCGATCGCAAAAACTGCGCCCACAAAAATCGCGCCGGTCCTACGCGGCCAAAAAGGCAAAAACGTGCGTCATCGTCAATGTAGTACATACACGTGGATCCGCACTTTCATGCACTTCGGACAAAAGCACTTCCGGTCCCCCCCCCCCACCTTAGCAGATGCAGCCCAGCTGTTGGGGGGGAACAGATTTTCCGTGCACGACTCCTTCAGTTGCAAGATTTACGAGATTTACAGCCAGAATGACGAATTGGTTAGTGATGAATTCGGCTGCAGTTTACGAATGGGGGTGGAAGAAAACGAATTGGTCGCGACATTCACAGAAATGAATTTAAGGTTACGAATTGGTGTGGAACTCTGGAAACCCTTTGATAAAGAGTAGTAAACTAAACATAAGTCCGACCAATGAGCTTGACTGTTTAGCTATGCCTCGTAAGGCAGGCATGGAGCGTAAGGACCTCCTTGCAGCCAATGTGAAGATCTTCAAATCTCAAGGAAAGGCGTTGGCTGATTATGCCAAAGCGAGCACAAAGGTAACTTAATGAGGTAGCACCATTATGCCGTCATAATTTCTTAGGATGACTTTTCAATGTGTTTGCAGGTAGTTGTTGTTGGAAACCCGGCCAATACCAACGCCTACATTTGTGCGAGGTATGCGGCTCCGAAGATTCCTGCTCGCAACTTTTCCGCTATGACTCGACTTGACCACAATCGCGCCACCGCTCAGGTTTGGGAGCCAATGGATTATTGTCATGAAGATTACATTAGGAAAATGGGTTTCATCCAAGAGCATGGAGCAAAGAAATCCAAGGATATCCTAGGCAATTTCGCAGTAAAATGAGAATAAGTAATAAAATTCGGCAACATTGGAAACTAAGACTGAGCGCAAAGTAGTTTTCACACCTTAACGTTGTTCACTGGTAGGGCTCTCTATCCTGAGCAGCCATCAAAAATCCTTCAAAGGTCACATCTCCTTATCGGTACTTTGATTGGAATTTTACTAACAACTAGCCTGATTTTTCTTATAGAATGGAGCAATCAGTATCCAAGCGACAGCTATTGCCTATAGGAACAAATAATCAACAACAGAAACCTGGTTGCTCTGGCCGATCCGGCGCGATGGCGGTTGCTGCTGCGCATTGTTTTGGAGAGCCAAACAAATCCAGAGCTAGTTCTTTAGACTTTATTCGCGGCAAACTCTCTTGTCACGACGCTGGCTTAAATGAAAATTAGACCAAAAATTGGAGAGCTTGCTCTCATTAGTGTGTTCAGTTATGGGACGAAGCTTGTAATCCTTCTTAACCGAAAGCAACCCAACAAAAGACCCATGCCGGCAGGTGTCCCACAAGAGGCCCACCGCGCGGCGAAGGAAGAGACGCAGACGCGGCAAAGAACGAGTCGTAGCGCATAGTAGCGGTTAGGTCTCAGGTTAAATAGGGTGCACCATTTTAAGTCTCACAGCGCACAACACGCGTTGCGACTCGCCCTTTGCCACGTCTGCGACTCTTCCTTCGTGGGCCTCTTGGGGGACACCCCATGCCGGCAACGGTGGCGGGTATGCCTTGGGTGACGACTGCTACCGCTATGTTGTATTATTTTCTTTGTATCGAGTTAGTGCCTGTCACTTCTCCTGCCTCCACTTCCCCACCGACTGCTCAATCAGGGGCAGTATGCAACAAGACCTGGACGTCGGAGTGTATCACCGACGCTTTTTGGCTCTTCGGGCTTTTTGCATACGATTCGGGGATATGTCCCTGACGACTCTCGGGGCTTGCTATATACGACCTCGGGTATATGTCCCGACGATCTTCGGTGCTTGTTGCGTACGGCCCCATGATTTTGCGAATCGAGGTTGATAAAGTGGTTATCATTTTCAGAAGATTCTAGTTGAATGTCAGGTAGGCTTTTGAGAGTGAAGATAGAACGAAACGAAATAGCTGAAAACACGCAAGTGAAAATTCCAGTCCTTTGCAGGGTGGTTAACGGTCGAGGATTTCCTCGACCACAGCTCTCTACCATGCGAGAGTAGTGCCGAGAGTGAACATCCGCGCGGAGAACACAGACGGCACGCCCATGGCGAGTGTGAATGTCCGCACGAGAGATCGTGTCTGACCGGGCAGAGAATCCTCGACGTGTCGTTGAGGAATCCTCAAGCGATACTCACCCTGGTCCTTTGTACAGTGTGCTAGATTGTGAGAGAAATTGTCTGAGCGACACTAGGCGGCGAGGCGAAAGCATAGGAGGAGAGCAAGGCGCAGATAACAGCGCATTAACATAGATGCTTGAGATCCATGACTGATACATGGCATGCAATCAAAATGAGTGAGTAAGGTCATTCAATAATGAAGTTGGAGGTTTTAACTGATCTGAAAAGAAAGCGAAAACAAGAGAAACCCCAATTTACGCTCCAAACAAAGTTCCGCTTCCTTTCAGCTGCATTCCACCTTGGGATGAGAAGCGGTGAACGACATGAATGACTATCTCCAGTGCTTCAATCACAATGACATTGACCCGTAAGGCTGATGTCAGACTTTGCGATGGAGTGATTCGCGGTTTGTGGTTGCATCGTGGCCTGCCTGGTGCTGCAACTGCTGCCCTATCTTCTGGCTGCGTCACAAGGCGCAGATAGCGGAAGGCAGGGATTGCGAGCGAAGGTGTGGATTGCGGGTCGAGCGAGCTTCTAGCGCCTTTGCCGCACACTTTCAGGCGGCAAAAGAGGCGCGACATGCCTCCCAGAGCTTCTCAAAGAACCTTCGTGAAATATGCCTATGAAACATCCGGAATTCGGAATGCGGGAGGTAAACTTAGCACATTAGTGGAGGCTTAAACTTAGAATGTCTCTTCCATTAGTGCTAGATATATCCAGTTTGCGAAAGATTCAAAGAACGACGTTCAGCTAGCAATGAAAGCAGGGGTCTCGGTCGGTGATGTGAAGAACGTGATAATTTGGGGAAATCACTCAAACACTCAATATCCTGACGTCAGGCATGCCGTAATCACCAAAGGTAGGTGAGATTTCAAAAAAGATTTCTAACAACGATATGTGGGTTGACGAAGAAAGTATGCTTTTCAAGCTCTACTTCAAACCTGATAATTGGTTTACAGAACTAGATGATGATTGGTTACCATTTGTTTTCTTAAAAAACATCGTATCAGCATTTGGTGTTGGTGAGTCTATCTACTATTTCCTTACCACTTGGTTACCTGTGACATATGCTAGCTTCAATCCTCCGTTCGCACTATTCGTACGTACTATGTAGGGGTCGCATTTGCGATTTGGGAAGGGGGAGTTTGGTATTTCGAGGTCGAGCAACGTTGCCAAAGTGGGAACGGAGATCGACGGCGGTCATTTAGGGAACAGAGATTGATGGAGGTCGTTGAAAAAGATTGTGTTTAGACGGCTCTTCTCACGAATGTGGTGAATGGTTCACGAAAGTCGTGAGAATTAGGCCAAATTAGTGGATTTTGCACTTCATGATGCCAGTTTACACCCCCGCCTGTGTCGGTCTCAGTATCAGACACCATAGAAACAGCCATAGATAGCGAGGGTGGCGGCCAAGGTATGGAGGAGGAGGATTTTGGGGGAGTCTCCTAAGACTCACGGTGATGATGAGAGTCGCAAATTTTTTGAAAAAGTGCGAAAGCGAGGGTTGATGCTGACAAATGCCCGATTTCGTATTATCGCCTATACCTACATATTAAAATGGTCAGGAGAGGTCTGCCTTTCAGGTGAAAAAAATGTCGATGCCTACTCTGCAGTAAATGATACCACGTATCTCCGGGGTTCGTTCATATCGGTCAGCACTAGTCGTTCATATTTCGTACCGGCTTCCAGAACCAATGAAGACCATTTTCAGACAGTCCAGAAACGAGGCGCTGTTATTATTCAGAAACGCAAGTTTTCATCAGCAATGTCGGCCGCGAAGGCCGCTTGTGATCACGTTCGTGACTGGCATTTTGGAACCAGACCGGTAGGTTTCTAAATACTGAAAATTGAACGGAAGTTGAGGTCGAGTAAGTACTGGATAATTAGACCGAGCAAAGGTGGCATTACTTCTCTATTACTACAATGTCCTAAGTTATACAGAAATCACCAGATCAAGGTTTTTTACTCGTTATATTTTCGCGGAGCGGGATGGCTTCAACCATCACCGGCAGACCCGCAAATGGCGTAAAATACCGATACGTATCAAAAGGAAATTAAACATTGATCCACTTACCTTATAAGGCGTCAACGATTTTGAATAATTGGTGTCTAAGAACTTCCCTCTTGTGGGTTAAATAGTGCTTGTTTGATTTTAATTCAACACATTGACGACAACGCGGGGGATATATATCCCGCGCATTGCAGGCCATGTCGGACCGTGCGGGATATATATCCCCCGCACCCATTACACCTATTTTTTTTCGCGCATGCTTGATTCTTTTGGAAGTTTCTTGTATTCATTCCATGGAAGAGACCTTGACGCAGCTATTATACAAACATAGTGGCTCTTAAAATGGTCACGTATACTTTAATTCAGAGGAGGATTTCTAAACCATACGAAATCTTCATTTCAATGAATCCATTTCGTTTACTTTTTCTTTTTGTTAATATGAAGACTTAAATAATAGTAGAAGTAGAAAAGGACCCTTAGGGATGACAATATGTGTGTTTTGATTGGAATAATCGCCGTAAAATTGCTTTTGAATTCCATTGCAGCTAGCTCTGGTAAATTTCGCTTTTTCATTGTTACTCCATGTCTTCCGATCGAAATTCCACTACTGCTGCCCCTGCTTAGGTTGCGCTTATTACAATTTAGACTTGGCTTCAAAGTTATCATTAGTTGTGTATTTATCACTCAAAATCTGCTTGAACGACCTGAGGCGAGCGCGCCCGCAAAATCGCCGCGGTCCCACGTGGCCAAAAAACCAAAACTCACGTTGTCGTCAACGTGTCAAATCAATGTTTCTAATTCATAACTGATTTAGTTTCTGACGAATCATTGCAGTGCACCTACGAGTGCATAGTAATAAATAAAAAAAATGAATACCGTACCATACCATACCATACCATACCATACCATACCATACAACTATGCTTCCCCTTTTGTCTGTACTTAACCCGTATCTCTCCAGGATTTCTCTATTAGGACCATTCCTGAAAGGGAGTATGATTTTGACCTACACTGTGGCTGCTCCCTTCCGCACAAGTTATTGAGCTGTTGAGGCCAGATGTATTCAGATGATGTCAAATCTGCGGAAAGTATCGTATGGAGTGAGAGACACCTGAAAAAGATTGAGCAACGCGGAACCACTGATTCATTTCAATCCTTATTTCACCTTCGACATCACTGAGGGAAGAGCATAAGAAGTACCAGAAGAAGTGACCATGTAAAAAGGGTGCAGGCTTGAAAGGATTCCGCGACGAGATTGGAGGTCAAAGTAGGGAAAATACATGTAGTGGGAAGGCAGGCGGATTCACTAAGTGTGCGTAACGATGTCTCTTTTGCAGGTGATTCCATGCCTCAACGGCCCAGCAGGGCCATACCGGTGCCGTTCGCGAAGCGGCACGACCGCCCTGTGAACGGCTGACTCCAGCCGTTCTGCACAAGAGCGTTGTCCCATTTCTCGGGTTCTGGGCCGTTTCTCCAGTTTGTTTATCCATACATGCACCAATGACCGCCTCTTTCTTGGATTCTAGAGAGCTACCTTTCATCGTAAGCTCCACCTTCGATTATAATAGATATAACTAAAAGCTTCAAGCAATGTCAAGCTTTAATCGATGTTAGGCATCCTTTTGACGGTATGTAGCAGTAATTTCACCGACTATGAATTTCTCTGCAGGGTGAATGGGTCTCCATGGCTGTACAATCGGATGGATCATATGGTATTCCAAAAGGTCTCATGTTCTCTTTCCCAGTAACAATTGATGGAGCGACGAAAGAGTGGAAAATCGTCCAGGGGCTCTCGCTTGATGACTTTGCGAAGAGCAAGATTGCGATCACCCTGCAGGTCAACAGCCGTATTTTACCAGTTTTCATCACCGATTTCAAAACTACTTTTGTTCAGGAGCTTGAGGGGGAGCGTGAAGAGGCTTTGAGGGCTTGCAATGCTGCCGCTTGAAAAGCGGACTCGTGGAAGTCCTGCGCATCAACGGTGTCGGTTTTCAAGTCGTCGTATTTAGAAACAATGTCGTTATGGATTGTTTTATATCTTGCATATTTAATCTGTAAATGGCTTTGCAGTATTTTGTTCATACTCTCAACCACTAATTCTATTCTCTAAGCCATGATTTTTGCCCTTGAGGCCATGAACAAATAGTAGAAGTGGGGAAGATGATTTGTTGAGTAGGATGAGGTTGTTCGGAGAACACCTGTAAACAACTCCCAAAGTAAGCTGTCTGAAAGTTTTATATGGTCTGTAGGGAGAGTCTTTGCGCTTTTTGACAATTACCGTTCCAATGACTTTTTGGAAAAAAATAAAACACATGAGGAAGCAAGGTTATCACAATCACCACCACTTCTCGGGTAGACTTCGGCTGCCTCCAGCACTCTGAGTTCTACTCGAAAGTGTTACTCAACCAGCGATCTATGTCATCTGCATCTTCGAGCGTTTCCTCTTGTATAGCATTCGATAGCGAAAGGAAAAGATGATAGTCCATCGGACCAGTATCCTGGCTGTACGGTGAGTTTCTTCCCACTTCCCATCCAGAATCGAGTTGCTTCTGTCGGATCACTGCTGTAGTGTGTGGACAAATGTTGTCGTGCAGGAATCAGATCATGCCGTAATTTCCATGCTTCTCTGCGATCTCAGGGGCCATTTTGTCCAGCTCGTGATAGCACAAGTCCACGCGAGCGCAGCGCAGCGCGGTAGTAAATCGCAATGAAAAGTGCTTCTGCAGTCTCACCAAAAATAGATCATAAACTTCTGGAGGCGAACACTTGCCTTTCGTTGGGGCTTACGCTGGTCACCCTTGTCAACCCAGTGTCGACAGGGCTTGGGTATTAAACTAGAGAACCACTTCTAATACTCTGTGACGATGGACTTTAGCCAATCACCCGTGCCAATCGTACGAGAGCCATCCCTTAGCCACCTCGTCATGTTGCAGACGATCGGTCAGTTCGCGGGACACGCACTGTGCCAGGCTGTGCACCTTCTCCAAATGAATGATCGGTGATCGGCGATGATGGTAAGGATACACCTGAAACTCATGCAAATTCACGCGCAGTTTGTCATGAGAGCAGGGTCAACCGTGCGTTGCGCAGATTTTGAAAATTTTACGACCCCCTCCCTTTCGGAGGGTATCAGTACGACCCCCTGTATTAGCCATTGCGTCTTTTTACATATTTTAGGTCCATCATTAGTATATGGGCCGTCAACGACATGGAGAGGTAGTGGACAGTAGTAAGGAGGGTCAAGCGAGGCGTCTCGAAAAATTTTGAAATACGACCTCCTCACCTTCCTACTCAGCAACCTAAGTCCTTGGAGCGACTCTCTTCACTAGGCGAAGTATGAGATAGTTGTTCACCTCCCCGAAAGCTTTTCATCGAAGAAAAAACGGCTATTTCACCCTCCACTACAAAAGTCGTTCAACAAGTAAGAGGAGTCAAGGAAAAATCATTAACAATGAACCAACAAATGGAGCAAAAAACGACAAACTAGTTACTAAAAATGGCATACTATGACGGCATCTGTTCTTTATTTATTTCCTGTGAAAGGTTCATCAAGTCAGCCTTACACGTGTAAGCTGACAGCGTACCAAAAGGTGAACGTTGTCAACTTACACGTCCACCTCTTGGTTGAGGGAAGCCTTGCAACCGCCTTAACCAGCTGGGTTTACGGACTACTTGATTTTCCCTCAATGGTCCTGCCGCGAGGGCAAGAGCACAGACGATTAGAGAACGGGTGAATGCCCAGGGCTAAGCGTTGGAAAGGAGACGGACCCGCGAGAGGGTAGAGGACCGACCAGCTGTGTGTTGATTGGTCTTGCGCGTTGGCCGTGGAGTAGCTTATACACTAAAGAAAATGTGGAGACATTCAAATGGGGATAAATTTTCAATCTGAGATTTGGAAGCTTTGTAAGTTGTAGTTTTCAACCAGTATTGAAATGCGAAAACTAAAAAAGCCGCCCCTAACTTGCTTCATTTTCGTCAAATCTCAAAAGTTGATAAGGCACACAAAACTTGAAGATTTGCAGCATTCAACGATGACTAGAACTGCTCAACACAAACAGTATTCAAAAAATGGCCACTCCGGGAATTTTTGCCAAATTAGTGAGGGAAATCCGTGATGAGCGCGAGTTTACCCTTTCCGGACCCACGCAAAGTGTTTTTGCCCGAGTTCCGCCGAAAGGTACTTTTTTGCTGCACTGACTTTCCTTCAACGATAACAGTAACTCCTTTCAGAGGCGGTTATGTACACAAGTGGGAACTGATTCGAATCGGCGAGCATTTCTCCTTCCAATAAGTGTGAAATTGTTTAGCGAATCTCAACTTTCACTATTATCTGCGCAGCTGAAGCAATCTGAAGCTGAAAGCTGCATTTCTTGTTGAATAGTGAATTCTTCCGTGCAGCCTCGCGGGGACCCTTTCAGAATCCCCTTGATTTTTCCTCAATTAAGATTTTCTCCCTTAGAGAGCCGTAGCTGAAGCGTGCGCAATGACCGGGCACACTCTGGGATGCGCCGCTTTTCTTCACATTGGATCGCAATCGCATTGCATTCCCTTCATATTGGAAAACTCATTTGAAAGATAAAATACCCGTCGGAAAACCTGCGAATTTTGCATTCTTTAACTTGTTTAGTGATCAAACTCTGAACCCCGTAGTTTAGAGTTACTACGCGGGCCCCTTTGAACCATGAAAATTTTGCGAGCGGAATAACAATGTTATTGGAAATTCTTCGGCGAAGCTTGCACGGTATCGATCACATGCTTGATGTTCGTCCTCCAACACTAATGATCCCATCGCATCGGTCAGACCCAATCCCTTCCTCCCTGCGAGCCACATACAACCAAACGCTGTCCTCCTGTAGGATTCCTCATTGCACGCTTGACCCTGGTGGTAATTCCGCTATCCTCCCCAAAGAGGTTGGGGGACGAAAAGTTCTTTAAATTTTCTCTGTCTTCCCATCTGGGATTGCCTTGATAAAGGACCTACACTCAACGTATGTATGTAGATAAAGGTAATCATGCACTAAAAATGAAGAAACCATATCGCTCAAGACAAATAAATTTGAAGGAAACTTTGGATCACTTAGTTTCGGGGAAGGATAGCATACGACCCTAACTGCCTGGCAGGTAGAAACACAGAGTTATGCTAAGTCCTATGACGGAACCCTTTTTGTCCTGCGGGGCAGGTAGAACAAGAGTTATGTTAACGTCTATGACGGAACATTTTTTTGTACCAGGGATTGAATCAGTGGAGAGGGGATATATCCTGGATGAAGATTTGAATACCGCCTGTGGTTGGACGATTGGCGCGGTCAGTAAACAGCCGTGTCGAGCGCGTCTGCACACGCCCTGGTTTTATATGTAGCAATCGGGGGTTTTAACTTAATTCTAGAGGGTCGTGAACGAGTGTCGCGTGCGGCGCCCTAGGTTGGACGCGTTGCCGCGGGCACTACAATCTGGGACGGATCAAATCTGCTAGAGTTGGTGGGTGTTAGCCCCCTACTCTGATTCATCTTCGGGGCCGACAAAAGGTTGCGTCATTGAGACCAGCATACCTCTGCTGTTTTCTATTGGCCAGTCGTTTAGAGCAGCGCTAATCACCCTCCACTGTGATAAGCATTCTTATCCTTGAGGAGTCACGGCTGCTCTAACTGTTGGCATGGTAGAAACACAGAGTATGCTAGTAGTATGACGAAACCTGTTTTTCTTCCCCTTACGCAGGATTGAATCAGAGTGTTAGGGGGATATATCCATGAGGGTAAGGATTGAAATACCGCCCCAGTGGGTCTTGCCAGGGTTGTTAGATGAAGATCACTGCTGTGTTTGCCCGTCAGGACTGAGGCTTACCTTTATGCGCTGCGACCTTCACAACCTCCTATCAGGTCTATCGGTACCGACGTTTTAGAGGTTTCCCATGTACAGGTACCACTTATACTGTGTGGCTCAGAAGTTATTTTTCGATTTCCTGAGGCATATCAGTCTTCATGTGGCGGCCTTCAGCATTTCGAGGCGAGCATTCGTTCCCCGTTGCTTTGAATGCACGGTGTATTGTGTTATCTCATAAAGAGGAAAAATATTTCCTTACAGGGTGTGCTTGATTACAGTGAAAAAACACGCACAAGTGATCAAAATGAGTGATGTACAAAAAATAGTATTCTGGTAAGAGTGTGAGGCATGATTTTATACACGGGTTTATAAATATAGGTCCCCTAATTTTCTTGCTAGTCCAAAGTTGCTGTGCATTGGTTGGAAATGCGCTATTACATTAAGTTTCCCAATAACAAAAACCATTTGATACGGTAGAGTTTCTGGAGAAATCTTCGATTTCGATTATTAAATATCCTCTGAGAACGGTATTTGTCAGCGGTTTCGCAAATATGACTAACATCAGCTTAGAGATTTTACATGTAAGAAAACGTCACGAATGTTTCAATATGGGATGACCCCCCATTAATATAAGAAGGAAACAATATGACGTTTTGAAAGGAACTAACGAAACAATAAGTAACCTCATTACTTTATGTCAGGTAGCCAATTAAGTTTACGTATGGATCGAAATTCTTTCGGGCGCTGTGATCGACCTTTGCACTTTTCGGCTGTTCCATTTTGCTTTACTTTGCTGTGGAATTTACAACATTAAGGCACAATGATTCTCTATTGTGAATCGATTCAAGATTACATGGTGGCACAGGATAACTGCCACATTTTTTCCTGCAAATTCCATCTTGCGCGGAGGACCGGCCATATGGTGACAAGTGCGACGTTATAGTCTCGGTGTACTCGAGGTAGAGGGAAGACATGTGTGGAAAATGGCAAGACTCGCTTCGAAAAAACTTCACGATTACCTGCGGAATCTTTCGTGAACGGGAAACAAGCAGTTCTAGCTACTCAGTTCGTTTCAAGGTGCCTCAACCATAAGGGATTCACGGCCGAAATGGAACGTACATTGAAACCATCTTGCGATTTTACGCGATGATCTGTACCCTCTTTTTCTGCCTATCACTAGAAGTCAACTTTTCACGTCGATCCAGCACCACTGTAGAACGACTCAAGCAAGGAGGTGGAGTCCAATATCGCGTAAGGTCTTACAGCCACACCATCCGCTGCCTAAGTTGAGCCTTTTGCCATGGGAGGAATGGAGCTTGCGATTCTTGTAGCGCCGCAAATTTTCGCGAACGCTCTTCTTCAATCCGTTGTGAAGATGTTACTTGCTCTGCTGGATTAGTGCCCACACGAGGTGGTTTTTGCGTCACGGAAGGCGCAGATATCAGTATCGGGAATCTGTTCGGAATTTCCTTGACTGGGTTACTATTCTAGAGGTATACACCATTCCTCTAATTTTGAATAGGAAACGCTCAACCCTCACCGACGGATAGTCTTTATTCACATAAGCGCTCTCTTCTCCGCAGCTGACCAGGGGCATATTTTCCAGCAGTCGCTTATGCGAAGATTGGAGGCGTGTCGTCGGACAGAGTAAAGAAATTCTGCTCCTCAGCTGATCGCACTTAGGTAAGGGCTCTTGCTGGTTGTGAGATTGTTACTGGGAAATGAGAGGCGAAAGTGATCAAGCGTAGGCTATTGGTAACTCGATCCGATGTCGACTGGAGCGCCTCATATTTTCCCGCTTCCCTGATTCCCTGCACGGATCGTGAGAATGGTAAGATTTTTATTGACGTGACCGCATGGTCATGAAACGGTGAATTCGTCTGAAAATTATTGGGGTTATTTGAGTGGGGAACTTTATCAGAAAACAATTACGAGGTTTTCCGGTGAATGAGGAATCTAACGGTGATAGCAGCATGGGTTTCAAAATGACAGCATTTCGGGGTAGCAAAATTTAGGGGATGGATATATTTATGAACCGCAGTGTTTATAATGTGCATTTGTAAGAGTGAAACCTTAATGCTATGTGAGTCGTACGGGCAGGCTGATTTTTGGGGTAGGAGGAAAGATTGAGATGCTTCCCATCCTTTCGTTGTTTACAAGACACAACTCTGAGTCGGATAGGCTGATGTCAGAGTCCGCGATACTTTTGCGCGATCTCCGCGATTTCCGCGATTGTCGTGATTTCGGATTGGCGCGATGTGTTCGCGAATTTTTTTCGTGACTTTCGCGATTTGCGCGATTTCGCGAGGGTTTGTGCGAGTTTTGCGCGATTGTCGGCGATTTTCGCGATTTCCGCGATTTGCGCTTTGTTCGGCGCAATCAGCGACGGTGTCCGGAAGTCTATAATACGTGCAAGGTGTTCTCAAGGCCGCGCTGTTCACTTCACTTGATAGGTTTGGTTATGAAGACTGCCGCATTGATTCACTTGTTTATTTATCCAGTGTGTGCATTGTTCAATGGGGCACTTGCCATTTGTGTGATTGTTTGGTTTCGTTTTCTGAAACAAACAAACAATAGGGAAGATTCAAGGCAGTTCAACTGATTAAAGACATTTCATGAAACAAGTAGAACCACAAACATTCATCTTTCAATCTTTACTGTCAAGCAAAATTCGCAGCAGGATTAAACAACACCTCGCAGTATTCATCGGGCACTTCCAACTCCTGTGATCCATCGCAGGTTTCCCGAAAGTCGCGCAAATCGCGAAAGTCGCGCAAATCGCGAAAATCGCGCAAATCGCGAAGAGCGGATCGCGGACTCTGACACCACCATAAGCATAATATTGGGTTGGAGCATAATACCGTAGCGATTCTTTTTTCAAGCGTATAAATTCAACCAGTACAAGTATTACTCGAAAAACCACTCAAACCATTTGAAAGTACTCCTTCCGCTCTACAAAAGTGCAGTTGCCGTTTGCTTCAAAATGCACTGCACTCAGGTGTACAGCTTAGTAGTTGGAAAATTCAGATAGCGAAAATCGGCGTTTCGACAGCTATTACTCTTCGATTTGAATATTGAAGAAAAAACTCCGATTCGGAAGTTATTACAGTCCATTGTTCTAACCAAACCATGCTCTTACCGACCTTGCCTTTTTCGCTCAATTTAAAACCATACTCACTTCGTAGAAATTGTATACAAAAAAGGCTCCGAAAACAAGACCAATATTTTTTTAAATTCTATATCCGGCAATCTCCTGCGAAATGCAATCAAAGTTGTAAAAAATGACGACACGGACATCACTGATTAGTTTTGTGATTTTATTCTTCGCTTTAAATGTTTTTGTGAAGAAATGGAAAATGCAAGCTACGATATTATGCTCCAACCTAACATTTGGGTACAGTAGGTAATATCGGAATCGGCATGCCCATCCGAAACCACCGGCTGCTGACACAGATGAATGACTAACCCGATGAAGCCGTTCAAGGCTTTCCCAATATATAAATTTGTTGTGCATTGCCTAAAACTCTTGTCTCCCTCCAGAATTGCCTTAAGAGCAGAGCTATCACGATGACAGTGATATGCGGAAATCTGATTGAAGGAAATTGGCAACTCCAACTCTCAGATACTTATAGTTACAAAGTAGATGTCACGTAGTGAAGGTACAACGACGAGATCATTCATTGGCGCCCATCATCACATTTAGTTGACTTTTTGCTCTCCACTTTACTTTTTCCGTAATAGTGGAGTGTCAGCTTACTTCAGATTATCATAGAATACTAAGCGTTTGTTCATGTCTGCTTATTTTATGCATCAATCGTCTGCACCTTTCATTTCCAAAACATGTAACATTCCAACGCGAAATTATTTTATTCTTTTTAGCGCTTACAGGTTTAGAATAATTAGCGTATAAGTAGCATGAGTCTTCATAACATATGAAGTATATAAAGCATGAATGAGTACAAGTATTTTTAGAATCTGCATGAGTCTTCTTAATGGATAGTGTATAGTGTAAAGCATGAGATACAGGGGGGGGGGCAAAAAAAGTCACTTTTGCCTATGGCGCACATTACCAAATTTTTCTTCGCAAGAATGCGCAGCTAATGGAATGTTTTGCGGCAGAAATTATCCTTAGGTGTCTCCCCATAAGCAGAAGCAGCCCCCGCTCCAGTGCCCTCACGTCTTCAGAATATGACGTCATCTGCCGTCGTCGTCAAGCCTCACGGGGCTTAACAGTATCGCCTCGGCCTGAAGCTGCAAACCTAATTCCTTCAATCGGTCAAGCGGTGAATAGCTTCCCAGAGACACGGCTGTGACCGTGCAAGACCGCTTTTACCGCGTTTCAGGGACGTCGTAATGGTCTATGTATCCTCGACGACGTGGTTTGAGCTCGTACGTGAACCATGTTTCCGTGGGAAAATCTTCCGAAGTCGTCAGTGGTAGAAGGTTGTTATGTAGCCTTTTGATAGACTTGAATGTGCTCTTTGATATGCATCGGGCTCATTTGATTTGGTCCGCAGTTCGAGATTAATTCGTTTTGAATGTGGAGAGAAGTGACTCTTTTTTTTGCCCCCCCCTGTATACAGTAAGTACCATTACGAACAGCGAGTTTATTGTTTAACAGGGATCTGAACTCTGCATGCAGTGCAGCACTAAGCACTTTCTTCATTGTTGGTTTCCCTTGTCCCTTTCCTGGTCCTTATCAGCGCTCCCTTTTTTTTCTGTACTCTGACCGCTGAAAATGAATTCTTAAGTTTTGACAATAAAGTTGGCAGCGAAATTGTATGCGATTCTACCGTAGTTATAACTTGGTCCTGTCTCGAAAGGTCAGGCTGGACTACGATCTGCGATTTTTGAGGGACGGGATCGATTCGAATCTTAGACGCTTAATCGATGAGCTCACGAATTTCGGTTGACTTTGCCATGGATTCTTCTGTGTCGACATTAACGAGAGCGTTGATGTTAGTAGCATCCAATGAGTAAGACTCGTATTTGAATTATACAAAATCCCACTTCTACTGACTCACCAGTTGGATGTCGTTTCTAAGTGATTTTCTTTTGTCCAAACGCTCTTGGGAAGCGACTATAGGATCTTCTACAGCGGGCAAAAGGTGATGTTCACTTTCGTATGCAGTCGTGATGAAGATGTTCCAGGTTCATCCGGAGCCTGTGTGGGTAAAAGCGTAGATCTCCTGCTCTCGGCTAATCGCACTGCATGTCTATGGGCGCAAGCTATGCCTGTTCTAATGTCCAAACACGTACACGTCATTGAATAGGGATATACACCACAAAGAGTTCAGTGAGCGTTGCCTGTCGGACTTGGATTGCAGCTGCACTGGCCTTCATGCTACACAATATATGACACATTCGGTGTCCTTCTTTGAACCTTCCATTTTCCCGTTCCTATCCATTCGATTTTATCTGTTCCAGCACCGTAATGGGTCATAACGGAGCAATGTCGTACTATTGTCTCCTGCGTCCTGAAGGACGCTGTGGCTAATCGACGTATATCCTAAAACAACACATGAGCGGATCAGAGTAGACCAAACTTTTTGAGGTCTACCTTTATATCATTCGAATCTGCCAAATCCTCTACCGCTCTGATGAGCAGCTCCACTAGGCAGTCCACTCGAGAATTTGCGCTTCTGTAAAGCACTTGATATTTTAAACGCAAATGCCAGCGTTCAGCCAGCATTGAAGTATCCATAACAGCCCTACGATTATTAAATGAGGCCCAGCTTGTTGTTCTTCCTCAAAAAAATAGGAGCTTATAAATTAAACGAATTCATTGCGATTAATTAGCTTGCCTAAATAATTTGTCCTTAAATACTGCGCCATTTCTTGCTGGTCTTCACTGTCAAGAAGTGCCAAAATCTCTCCAAACTTCAACATAAAAGGTTCTAGCTGGCCAATCTTCAGCAAATCATTGAGCTCCTTCAACACGCGACTCCGGAGTGGACCCTGATAAAATTTCATGCAACCCTGCAATCTTATGACAAAAAAAATGATTCTCACCTGCACCAGCTCCCTGGCCTTTCTCTCCCAAGTCTTACTTATATGCCAGCGACAGAAGCGCGGCGCCGCCTTCGACCTGGGGAATATGGATTGAAACCCTTTGATGAAGCACGGCGCTTCATCCGTGACAATCTGACTTGGATTGAAGTTCGGCATCAAGTTTCTAACTTCCTTGAATAATTTCTCCACATCAGAAGTGGTCATGGTACCACTAAGGAGAAATGCTAAATTTTCGAAATCATTTGTTTGCTATGTATAGAGTTGTATCGACTCACCGGCTGGAAGCCCTCTGTCACGTTCATCTGCCACTATAACAGTGGCTAACTTCAAATTGTACCTTGTGGCACCATGCGTGTCGTCCACAGATATGCCGCGGCTGGAGAACTTTTTAAGCCAATCCAGTTGTGTCGGCGTGATAATTACTAAGAAAGGTTTTAAAGGTTTCTCATGATTAATTCGCTTTTCCAAGTTCATTCTCACCCAGAGTAAATCCTTTCCCAGTCGGGTCCTGTGTTGTTTCTAGGAGCCGGATTCCATCATCTGGATTGTTTTCATCAGCGCGTAGTTGTAGAGATACCAGATCGTTATTATCGCGGAATCCTGGTCTCATGCCATACTTCTCAATTATGTTCCAAAGGTCCCCTCTAGTGACGAAGTGGAGCCTGGACGTTTTTGGCGAAAAGTCGCTTCTGACGCGACGAATAATATAATCCAGTGAGTGATCTGAAGTTGCGTTATGCAGCTGCGAATCAAAGATACAGTAATATGGGTTCAAATCACCTTCCAACAAGGATTTTAAGTAATGTTTTTGATCCTCCGATAAACGTAAGAGTGCAGGTTCAACGTCATGTCCTGCGTGCCCAAAGCACCCTTTCACACTTTATAGTCCCATCATCGTTCACAACATAATTTGTGAAGCATGGACAATGTGAAACATGTTTCCTGCTGAATGTTGACCGCTTAGTGCTCTGGCTTGTAAACTTTCCTGCTCGGTTACATCTATAAAAAGTGCATCTTCAAAACTTTCCTAGTTCCTGAACAGTAATCAACGCTACCTCATATGCCATTTTCCTTTAGAGGAACGCAGGTAAAGAGTGGTCACAGTACTCCCGCATGTGTCCTCCAACCATCTCTAAGAAAGTGACAGTTGTATATAAGTTCATGCTAAGAGCACAGTTCCCAGTCTATGGTTTCGAACCTTGAAGTGATCCTTCGTGGAGAATTGCAAGGAATGAATGGTATAGTCCTGCTCTGTTCCATTGGCGCCGTCACGACTATGTTCTTGACCACTGTGATTCGCAAGCGTCTCGTGGTCAACGATTTTGCCATCGCAAATCGGCAGGACACTGGTAATGCCTCTGGATGAGCCTCTCGACGTTCCCTTTTCATGCGGTCAATCTGTTCATCGGTGTGCTGATGGACACCCATCAGGTGCCTGTACAGCCCTTTTTGAAGGACCCATTTCTCGCAAATATCGCAGCAAACTCTTTCGTTACTTTTTAGTGGCATCGCCTATAATAAGAAATGTATTGGCTGCAGGAACTTCAATATACGGGGAATGTTTCGAAAATTCATCAGTATGTGCGTTTCATTGAAAAGTCTAGGGAGACCACTAACTTCATTATACAGCCAGACTGCTATTCAGAATATACTTGCTTTCTCTAACTATGGAGTACTAACGAATTGCTACTGAGGCTAAGACAAGGCTTCCGGCCGCCGACACAGAATAATCCAATTGGTGCAGGTCATTTCAGCACATATGAAAAAGTTCGACAAGTAGTCCTAGTTTTAGATAGTCGCAACGCCTTGACATTCGCCGTAAACTACAGACTGTGGTGTGCACTGCCAAAACTCGAGTCTTCAGAAGCCTCATGACAATTGGAGCTATTGCGATTGCAAGGAATAATGAACAAATTGAACTTAATAACTTCAGATAGTAAGAGTTACTAGAAAAGTAGGAGATCCAACAAATCGAAGCGACTCATGTATTTTTGAGCCCATGCATGCAGACATTTCAAAGGTTAACAGTGATGGAATAAAATGAAACAAAGATATGAGGACAGTTGGTTTTGAAAGGTCGCATAGGGTGGCACGATAGGAGTGGAGGGTATAGTGGTTACAGTGATATGAAGAAATGAGGATGAGACTGAAGGTAGGTGACGAAATCTGGGCTGGAGGATGATAGGTCATCAAGGGATTTCTCAATAGACTGCGCACTTTCGAAGCGAAAACGGAGGTTACACGATACTTCAGTTCGTGAATACCACAGTTACACTCGAAAGTGGTCAAGGATATGGAAAATGAGAGCATTTCGTCCTGAAGAATATTGAGTTTCGAGCTGAATGAAGAAAGTGAAATCAAAGAATGGACGCCAATTACACTAGCATTACCACCAGTATCCAATGTCTAGAGCAAAATAGTAAAATTACCTGCACTGGTGAGAGGTGACGCAAATAGAAAGTAGTCGCAGTGAATACTAGGTAGCAGTGTGCAATAGAATAATGAATAATCAGAAGACGACATCGAATTTGCAGAACATCAGCCACGAGTATTCAGCAGCGTGATCGAATGGTAGGAGGCAACAGATAACCTTTTTGTGTCAAAAGAAGTGGGAAAGAAACATAGGGCACTTGCCGAGAAATCAACCAGTTGCCCTGCAACCCCAGTTCGCGCTCCAATATGGATGCGCGCGCGACACGCGCAGTGCGACCCCCTGTCTTTATAGATGCGGCCGTCAGAACTTACACCACGACTAAAGACATGATATCGGTGAAGTCACCCGAGTTGGAAGAGTAGTTGTAGGATATACTTCTTAATAAGTGTCACAGAATGACAGAGTGGGCAGCGAGTGCTCAGTTTTCAGTGAAATGGAACAAGCGTATAAGTGCAGACTGACAAAAAATGTTATATACTGTTTAACATGCAACGGCTGTGGAATACAATATGTTGGGATGACTATAAGAAAACTCAAAGAAAGAATAGGGGAACACCTAACTAATATTTCTACACATAAAGTACACACACCCCTATACAATCATTTTTATAAATGTGACAAAGGAGTCACTGTTACCATACTTGACTCTATGAAACCTAATGATAAAACCAGTTTACTTGAGAAGGAACTGTTCTGGATTAAACTCTTAATGACACCATATCCGTTTGGTTTGAACGATAACATCAAAGGTTATGGAAACATTACAAACGTGGACAATCCTCTTCTATATAAAGGGAACCATCCCTTCTTCTCACTTAAAATTACAAAAGAAAGAAATAACAGAGGAACAGTACACAAAAGAAAGAAAAAAGGGATAACTTTCCAAAGAGCTTTGGAAGAAATCACCAATAGTAATGGAGAGTTTGAGCCTGTGGAATACTACAGGTTACTCAAACTACTCTACGGAGAAATGAAGTCGACAAGATAGTAAATCTATCCAAGTCAGTAGACTTTCTTGAAACAGTTAATAACAAAACAAGATACCTCATATTATGCCTACTGGCCCATTTTCATTTTGACACAGTTAATGTCAAAACTTCTAATAAAAAGAAGTTCCACAATATAATTTAAAAAGAAGTTCCACAATATAGAAGGAGGCTGGCAAAAGCAGGATTTGACCCAAAAACCAATACTTTCAACAGAATATTCAACTCAAACGTAGCTTTAAGATATACTGCTTAAGAATAGAAGAACACAATCGAATACCACACCATCAGGAATCTGTATATAAGGACAATATCCCAGTTTCAAGTAGAATTACAATTATAGCAGGGTATTGAAAGATCTTCACAACGAAAATAAAGAGATATAATCAATAGAAACTTGTGCTTGTATTGAGGACACAGTACAAGAATATAGTTAAGCATAATCATGACACATCGTAACAGGGGCTTAACATAATAAAAGAAAAGAAGCTCAAAACAATTTATGAACAAAGGAACTAGATATAGTGCAAGTTCTCGACTTTGCATGATCTTAGCTGATATTTTTCAGAATAGAATAGTTAGACTGGCTGGCGACAAGATGTCAATAGCTTTATTTTGCGTTCGGTGCTTTTAAGAGACCGAAACGCGGCCCAAAGTAAGCTATTGGACATTTGGTCGGAAGCTCAGTACTAAACTATTCTATTCTGAACGTAGATATAATTGGCCACATGTGATACAAAGGCCAGAAGTCAAACAAATATATGAAGGACACAGTCAGCAAAGTTATTTCTATTTTCAAAAACAAGTATAAGGTAACACGCAACAAGTAGACTACTGCGAACAATATCTACAACATGTTACCATGATAAAATAAACCACTATTAACAATGTGAAACATTAAAATTAAAGGGGAACACATACCGTACGATGTTAATAAAACGCTATCAAGACGTTATGTTTTTTTGTCCTTAGATAAGCCAGTAATAATTATGGAATAATTTTGCCAAAAAAACTACTTCTTACTATAAATGAAGGAAATGGCATTACATATGATTCAACAATCACATATATATTAATGAAAACCATAACAATATTTATGAACCGTACAATGCGAATAACAAGTATTCGTTGATACTGAACACAAGTTCCTTGTGTTAGAAATAACATTGATACATTTGTCAGATGCGGTATTGCTATCATTATGCGTTACCTAAACTAACATAATAAATCCTATAAGTTTAGATATATTACTGGTGCCATAGAAGTAGCATTATAGCCTCTAGCACAAGAAATCAACATTATTTTCACGCAGCATAGAAAAATCACTTCGTTAATTATGTCAAAGCTAATACAAAACAGAATAGAACAATTAAAACATATTGGTCCATAAATAACATTAATATAAGTCAAGATCTGTAACAATATCACATATAAAATTAAATTTTAAATTTACACAGCAGATTTCACGACATGTTTCACTAATTAAGAAACATACCATCATCATTAGGACACAGGACAGCATATCTTAAATTTGCTTTAAGAATGCTAATAAGTCGCTAATAGCCACTAACGGCTATCACTATTCTATACAGATGGTGAATTAACAACTAATACCTATTATATATGACAAACCGTGCTGAGTTAATATATTTTACAGATTATTTGTAAAAAACAGTTATTGCAAATTTTGGCAATTATAATTAAACAACAAAAAGGAGTACCACAGGGGAGGGTAATTTCAGTCCGCTGTTAGCTAGTACCATCTTCCGTCATGGAGATACAATTATGCAATAAAGGGTTAAGTTTAATAAAAATAAGTTATTCATCATTCAGATATATGGATGATTTGCTATAATTACATAACAAGCGAGGATAATATTGACATATAACTAGCCGCAATGTACGATGAATACACTTGAATTGAAGAAACACATAAGCTGAAACATCTTAGTATTTATCTAGATCTAACAAGTAGTTATAATAAATGACAGAGTTGTAACCAAATTGCTATAACAAGACAGATGATTTTCAGTTTAAATGTCATCAGATTCCACAACAATGACACGAAATATCTCCATAACAATAAGGCTCCGTCAATATACACTGAAACACTTAGAATAGCTAACACTTGTTCTAGATTCTAGACAAATTTACTGATAAGACTAACAGAATCCTATAGAGTGTTACTAAGAAATGAGTTACTATGAGAACTTTATAGAACTTAATGGTAGTTAAGTGCTTTTTATTAAAAATAGTTTATATGGTCAAATTTTCAATGCTAATAATATATAAAAACATTATATAAGTTAGTGGAAGGATACTTCGTCACTAAATTTCTATCGAAATGCTGGTGGAACCCGTGCTAACGCCCACCTTTTACACTTTATATTTGTTAACATGTTCAGGTAAACTTATATTTTCATTCAATTAGTCAATATATAATCATCTCATTGCATTGCTCCTCTGATGGTAAGTACGTCATATCAAGGTTATTCGTCTTTCCCCTGTGTCTTTATTTCGTCAATCCCAACTCATGATGGAGCTCCGGGGATGGCGAAATAATAAGGTTCGTCTGAGGAAGGAGCAAACGAACCGTATCAATTATTTTGCTTTATATGTGTTTTTTCTTTCTAATTGTTGGGAAATATGGAGTTTTGTAACGACGGGACGGTACTGCGGGTAGCAGACGTGGAGGCGTTCTGCGTAGCGGTCATGCTGACCCCGCCGCGTCGGGAGGGACCTCCCCATTCCGGTTTTCGTTTCGCAAGTGACGTTCGTCGTGTCGCAGTATTAGAATAGCTAAAAGGTTTTCAACGTAAGAGTTAGATTTATGCCGCAAAGAAAGATATTTGTGAGCTTCGTTGCTTTGTTTTCATTTCTAGATCTTTTGTCCATTTTTCGCCTGCATAAGGCAATGTTACATTGTTCTTCTCGTTATTACGGTTACTTGGTGGCGTGTATACAAGCGGAAGGGATTGCTAACTTAGTTGGGGGGGGCACGCGGCGGCGCGGCAGTCTGCTCACTGGCATTTGTTCAGACATCCGGTGGGCAGGGGAAGTGGAGCGAGTAGGGGGGGGTGGGGAGTCAC